TCTTGCCTCACTTGCTCTCCTCTTGACGTCACTTGTACTGTGACATATATATATACCTGCTCTTTCTTGTCTAGTTTTATATATATGTCTGTACTCCTGCATGTGAACTGGCCTCTGGCCCTGCTCTTGTGCTCGGACTGTGTGGTGACTTTGTGATCCACCCTGAGCTTGCTTTGCTTTGCTTGACTGGTCTTGTGACCCCTTGTTCTCCCCCCACTTTGCCTATGGGGGTGTGTCAAACATTATATATGTTATGCTTGTGTAGGCTAAAGTGGGTTAGCCTATAGGGGGTACACAATTCTAGGGTTTCCTACTTGTACTCATTTCACTGCTAGTTCATCCATTCCTGTTCGCTTATTCTCACACGTCGCCAACAACCAGAACCTGCGCACACGACGACAAGGCGTTGCTCAACTTTAGTCACGAAAGACAAACGTAATACTACAAATGTCGAAGGTCTTAATAGCAGAAGGACTCGGCTACAACTTACTGAGCGTCAGTCAGCTGATGGCAAAAGGCATCCATCTCGAAGCAGACAGCACCACTCAGGAGTTCAAGCTGTACCACGGGAGAGGCGAACTTTACATCGGGAGGGCGGTCCTGAAGAATAACGTCTTCGTCCTCGACTTCGTTCCAGATTTAGGCACCGCCGACAGCGACGGAATCGTCACCTTCACCTCCTGGACGCACCCACCAGATCTTGATCCTGACTTCAGCCCCGAAGGCTTCTGGTATTCGCACACTATTCCTGAGGCAGAACGAACAAGAGCATTAGCAACGATTCAACACTCGGCAGCAGCAGAGACAATATCGGCAGCAGCAGAGACAACATTGGCAGCAGCATAGACAACATTGGCAGTAGCAGAGACAACACCAGCAGCAGCAGAGACAACATCGGCACCAATCGCGGGTCCTTCAACTGCACCAGCCCCAATTGACGACGACACTCCACCGACCCCTGCACAGCAACTGAATCCAACACCACGAGAAGTCCATCAAAGCGCAAACTTCACCGCAGGCTTCTACTCCAACTTTGACTTATACCGTCGCTCACCCGGACATCGAGCTGGTGAAGATATCTGGCATGCGCGAATGGTACATCCAAGCAACACGGTGTTAAACAACACAATCAGAGCAGGCGTGCTTGATAAAGACTCACTTCTTCTAACCAACGGAAGCGAACTTCGACGAGCTCGCGGAACGTGCTTTACCTGCCCCGAAGCCGACTTACCACATCGGCCGTTTGTATCTTATCACAACCCTAGTGCTCCAACTTATGCGCCTCTGGAGAAAGTGTACAGCGACATCCTGTACAATCGCGAACCTGGACAAGGAGCATACAGCTACACCATCACGTTCATTGACGCCGCCACTCGCTATGTCTGGCATCTCAACCTTCCAAGCCGCGACATGGCCTTCGAAGCCTTCATTACATGGCTCCCAGTAGCAGAACGAGAATCGGGAGTTAAGCTAAAGAGCATTTAGTCTGACGGGGGAGGAGAATACACCTTACAGAGGTTCAAGCAGTACTTGGCAGAGAGAGGAATCAAGCGGCTCATCTCTCTTCCCTACGCCCACCAACAGCAAGGCGTAGCAGAAAGGATGAACATGACTCTCCAAAACACCATGCGCAAGCTGCTACGTGGCAGGCGGCTACCCAACCACCAATGGCCCGAAGCAATGGACCACGCTATCATGCTGCACAACTTGCTCTCGTCATCATCGCTCCCAAACAATGCATCACCGGACCTGCTGTGGACAGGAAAACAGGGCAGCACAAAAATGTTGAGAGTTTTCGGCTGCATGATACAGTACCGACCCCCAGCTGCACGAGCCGGACGATTCTCCCAACGCGCACAGTGGGGTCTACACCTCGGCATTGAAAAGAATTACAACGCGCGGAAGATTTTCGACATCTACTCAAAAGAAATAGTAGCAGCACGTGATGTCATTTTCTACGAGCGACTCACACTTCCGACGTACCTTGCCAACCTGGAAGAAGACCGGGACCCCACAGGTGGCTTTCATGGTGACCGAGCCTTCGCCTCGGCAACAAACAAAGCTGAATGGGACGAGTAGAACGTAGATGAAGCCTCAGAGGAAGCCGGACCTCTCCCTTATTGCTCCATTGACGTCCCAATGGATGACGAAAATCCTCGCGAAAGCATCAACGCCGAAGTATATTACCACTTCGCCGACAACGGCTACGTTACATCTGCACGGGTCAACACCAACGAAGCAGAACGCATGGGACCCAACTTCATACCTGACCCAGAAGTAGGTGACGAAGCACCTTATCCCGAGGACACCACACTCCCCCGCTACACACAGAGTGGCCTCCAGATACTCAGCCTCGTCACCGCGGTCCACGACACGGCGATTCCTAAGGAGCCTGCCACAGTTCAGTAGGCTCTAGGGGGGGAGCATAGGGAAAAATGGTGCGAAGCCATGGACAAGGAGCTGAAAGCACTGGAAGAACGGAACACCTGGAAAGTCGTTCCCATCGGCGTGGCACGCAACAAAACGGTACTTACCGGAAAATGGGTTTTCCGCGTGAAAACAAAGGCAGACGGCACCATCGATAAGTTTAAAGCGCGCTGGCTCGTACGCCGTTTTGACCCAGAGCACGGACGCGACTTCATCGAAACATTCACTCCGGTCAGCCGACATACCTCATTGCGAATTCTCCTCGCAGTAGCCGCCATGAAGAAGAAGAAGTTGCGACAAATCGACGTCGCCAATGCATTTCTCTACTCACCTGTTGACGCCGAAATCTTCGTCAAACTACCACACGGCTCCAACGGAGAGCCCAACCAAGTCTGTCAGCTGCTGAAGTCCCTGTACGGTATTAAACAGGCCCCGAGACTGTGGCAACAGTACTTGCATGCTAGACTCATCCGCATCAGATTCCGCCAGCTACCGCACGACCATGTCATGTACCAACTCACAAAGGGCACCGACTACATCTTACTGATTGTCTATGTATACGACTTACTCTACATTGGATCGACCGACGACGTTACTACCTGGTTCGAAGGGGAGCTACAGCAGGATCTTACTCTCACAGTGTCATCGACCTTCACGCAATACCTCGGCCTCAACATTCAGGAAGAAGAAAACGCAATCTACCTCAGCGCCGCAAAATAAACCGACACCATCGCCAAACGCTTCAGACACATTCCGACCACTATCTCCATGCCATACCGCTACACCACCGAAAGTCACAAGGAGGGCTCTGTTCCGCTCAAGCCCGCAGGCATACGCGACTACCAGAGAAAGCTAGGATGCCTTCTCTTCGCGGCCGTCACCTGCCGACCGGATCTATCGTACTCTGCAAGTCAACTTGCTACCTACCTCAAGAAACCTGAAGCAGATCACATGGCGGAGCTCGACCGCGCTCTTCACTACCTCGTCAGCACCCCGACGATCAGCCTAACCTACCACAAGAATGGAACTACAACGCTTAATCGGCTTCGTCGACGCCGACCACGCTGGAGACTCTAACAACAGGCGCTCGCGCACCGGCTACTTCTACCGACTCAAACCTATCGGACCCATCTCATGGCAGTCGAGCAAGCATGAGCTAATCGCCCTCTCCTCAGCTGAAGCAGAATATATCGCACTCTGCTCAGCCTCCAAGGAAGGACTGTACCTTCGCGAACTGATGGAGGAGGCGAAGCTGGCCCAGTTACCCAGCTTCTCCCTGTTCTGCGATAATCAGTCAGCAATCCGCATGGCGAACAAGAGCGGATTCGCGAATAGGACGAAGCACATCGCACTACGATATTTCTTCGTGAAGGACGAAATCGAGAAGGAGAGACTCGAGTTGTCATACTGCCCCACGTCTGAGATGGCAGCTAATTACTTGACCAAGAAACTCGGAAAACAGAAGTTCGAGTACTACATGCTGCTGACTGGACAAAGCCACGTCACTAGCAGCGACACTCCAGAAGCGAAGAGGAGTGTTGGAAACAAGTGATTTAAGCGCCTCTGTCGTGTCGAAGCACTAAGTCGTAAACGAAGCGAAGTACAGTGAAGCATCGGCGAGTTAACACTTGGAGGTTGAGAAGTGAAGAAACCGCTGGAGGTTACGCGAAAGTCAAAGGTCAGCGACCTTTGACCTGACAAGTACAGCGCGACAGCAAGGACAAACAGCTGACTCGTTATTGAGCAGTTGCCCGAGTCGTCACTGTATCGAACCGCAACAGCAACAGTACCGTAAAACAGTTATCAGCTGCATCTTTTCATATTCCTCGTACTCTTATAAGAACTTGTATCTCTTTGATTAAGAGCGTATTGCTATCCTCGTATCAAAAGAACCTCATATCAACCTCCCACTGAAAATTCCCCTGAACCCAAAACCTCTCGCTAGTTTTACCAGGCAATAAGTACAATCTTGATATGAGGTTTTCTTGATACGAGGATAGGAATACGCTCTAATTAATCTACTTTGCCCTCACATACCAGCGCAAGGTGGTTCAAGACTCATTATACGCTTCCGCACTTACAACAAGTCCTACCCAGAGTTTGGCCTTGCGAATATCCCAAGGGCTCTTCTCAGCCCAACACAAACCACGTGACCCTAACTTTGGGCTTCGTTGCCCGTACAGAGTGGTGGAAGGCATAAAATGTAAAACTTTAACGATAATGTTGGGTATCAACTGTAGCATCAAACCGAGTCGAAAGAAACGGCCTGCGGGAAACGGGGGCAGATAGGCAGGCACCCGCGGGGATTTCGTCTCAGATGTGCAACCAAGTGTTGGCATGGCAGTTAAGGGCAGTGAACGTGTGAAGGGTTGGGTGCGCTGGGAATGATTCGCTGCCACATCAAACAGACTGACAGCTGCACAGTAATATCTGGTCTTCTACTGTACATGGAAGCAGTACAATTACGCGCACAGCAGCACGTCAAACCTAGCAGTACACAATGCTTTTGGAATATACTACTGATTTTAACATTTCCACTAAGAATCATAATCAGCATCAGTGTCAAAAAAACTTCAACCAAACTGCATTTCCCGGAATGCCACATCACTGTCATCCACGCCCTGCCCCAGCTTGGCACGCTTCTTCTGCCGCACGCCGCCCGCCCCCCCGTCCAGAAACTGGGCGGCAGTTTTGGCACGTAGCTCGTCGAGCCCCTCGCCCTCCTTGGCCCTTTCAAGCACGAGGTGGCGGCCGTACAGGTGGGTGCTCTTGAGCGCATCAAAGGCACTCTCTGCTTCCCTCTTTGTTGCAAACTCCACAAACGCAAACCCCCTGTGCCCCCCGTCAAACTTGCGTGGCAGCCGCATGCTCTTTAGCTGAGGGTTGGGTGGGGAAGGAAGGGAGGGGGTAGCTTGAATGACAGTAGTCAGGAAGCAATCCAAGAAGGCACCTCCCTCTAGAGGCAAAGCCCCCTGTGGACCCAAGGCTGATGTGAGAGTAATCATGTGAGAAAGTTACATGTGCCAGTAATCAACTGCCAGGATACTTCACCAGTTGCTGTGACCTGTATTACCTGCCCAGTAATGGTTTCACCAGCCCACAAAGCTCACCTGCCCAAAAGGTGCAAACAGCTGCTGAATGTCCCTCTTAGTGGCCTCAAATGGCTGGAGGAGAGAGGGAGAACGAGAGCGGGGATAGATGGTGCGGGTAGAGAGTGAGATGGAAGTGAAAGAGATGGAGAAATACGGTACTGCCGAGTGTCCCTCGTGGTGGCCTTGAATGGCTGGGAAAGTGGCAACGGAGAAGGACGAATGGAAGAAACAAAAGCATGCAATTTGGTATTAGGGAAGGGATGCAAAACGCTCAGTTGTTTTTGTTCTTCCCTCTTTGACTCCATTCCACAGCATTCAGAACTCTCCAACTCACCACATTGTGCAACATAACCTTTTTAAAATCTCTTTTCTTTGAACCCAGCTTCTTTTTTTTCTCCGTCCATTCCTTCGTGTCACCCTCAACTCACCACATTCCGCACGATCACTTTGGTCGAGCTCTCCTTCCCCTTTCCCCCTGGCCCTGCTCCCTCACCCTTCCCCTCACCCCCCTTCGCCTCCCCTTTGCTCAGCTGCAGCAGCAACGCATGCCCATCCAGCACAGTGCCCTGTGGAGAGAGAGTTGAACGCATTGGGGTAGAAAAGGAAAAAGAATGAGAAAAAGAGGAGAAAAGAGGTGTTTAGAATGTTGTGGGGAGCAGCAGGGTGGCTGCAGTTTTTCTTGCCCCCCATCCCGCTTTCCCAATATATACTGGATGTGCATGCATACATACATGCATGATTGCACGTAAACTGCAGTACACGAAACACTGCAAGCATGCAGAACTTATGTGCCGGATATGCAAGCATGCTTGCAGAAGGATATGAGGACCACACCGCGCGACTCACCTGCAGAAGCTTGCACGCTCGGTGTGCTGTGCAGTGCAGCAAGAACGAATACAAATTCAACGAATCCACACCCCATCGACAGCTGCTTGCCACAACAGATGCATGTGACAAGCAGGGGCGTGGGGATAGCAGCATATGTACCACATTGAACCGCACTGCACGACTCACCTGCAGCAGCTTGCACGCGCAGTGTGCAGCAAGCACGGATCCAAACTCCGCACACCCAGCTGCATACCACAACACATCCACGTGGCATGAACGGACGGGTGTGGCCACCACACCATGCGGCTCACCTGCAGCAGCTTGCACGCGCAGTGTGCACCAAGCACGGATCCAAACTCCACAAACCAAGCTGCTTACCACAACACATGCACGTGGCATGAACGGACGGGTGTGGCCACCACACCATGTGGCTCACCTGCAGCAGCTTGCATGCGCGGTGAGCAGCGAGCACGGATCCAAACTCCGCGAACCCAAAACCCATCGACAGCTGCTTGCCGTTCCGCACCCGCTTCTTGATCTGCCAAGGGTTCACACACAAGTCCGTGAGAGTGAGGCAGCATTAGGCGACTGTCAAGAAGCCTTCTTGAGCTGCTGCCCAGGGCTCACACACGAGCAGGGTGAGAGAGAGAGAGAGAGAGAGAGAGAGAGAGAGAGAGAGAGAGAGAGAGAGAGAGAGAGAGAGAGAGAGAGAGAGAGAGAGAGAGAACCCTATCAATGAACGGGCCATTAGAGAAGCAGCGTAGACGACTGTGGAGTCGAGGGCACTTCTTAAGCTGCTGCAGTGCTGCTGTGGCTCGCACGAAAGGGGGGTGCGGGAGAAACAGAAGTTTCTTTACTTCTCGAACGCTTGCTGTTCCGCACTTGCTTGCTTCTTCTTTATCTGCTGCGGTTTGAACTTTGACACGCAAGGGGTTGAGGAAGGAGACGTAGTGCGCAAGGGAGCTACGTGCATGCCAGTGCATCACGCAGGTCAAAGAAGCACATGACCTCGCACAAAACCCCCCCTCTCCCCTCTCCCCTCTCCCCTCTCGCTTCCCCCCCCTACCCCCTCCCCCCTCTTCCACCCCTGCCTTGCCAAAAATCTGTCTGTGACACGCGCAGCGAAGCGAATCCACATCTCACCGTGACGCTGCGTAGTGCTGGGCCCTCCCCATCCGCCCCTGCGTGCTTGCTTCTGAGAAGCTTCTCCAGGTGCTCCTTCAGCTGCGCCTCTGTTGTGGCAAAGCTGAGGTTCTTCACAAACACACTGTGGCTCGTGGGCTGGCATGGGATGCAGGGAAAGAAAATACACGAGGGGACGAGATGGGAGAGTGGGAAGGGGGTTTAAGGGAAGGAGAATGGAGAGATGTAAAGCAGAGGCTCTTGAGAAGCAAACTGTGGCTCGTGGGCTCGGGTGGCGGGGCGAAGAGAGTGGGAAGAAGGAAAGGGAGGGCCGAGATGGTGGGATTGGTTGAGGGAGGGGTGGGGGACTTGAGGCAGAGACGTCAGTAGAGAGAGGAGAGGCCGCACGTAACACAAAATCAACCTCCCATGATGGCAACAGTTGGGCCTCCTTAAATTCAACCCTCCCTCCACTCCACCACCCGCCACCCTCCCTGCACTTCCTTCACTCCTATCCCACCCACCCCCTCTGTTCCCCCTTTTGCTAGGCTCACCTGCCCGTCCTCCTCCCCTTCCACCACATGCCCCTCGGCCCCCTCTCCTCCCCCATCTCTTCCCCCAACTCCCCCCACCATCTCCGCCTCTGCAGCCATGCGCCTGGCCGCCTTCCCATCCATCACCACCGGCAGCAACCCCACTGCACCCTGCTTCTTCGCTTTCTTCTCTCCGCCTCCCTCCTTGCCTACCCCTGCGCCTCCCTCTCCTTCCCTAGAAGATGCTGCTGCTGCTGCTGCTGCTGTTGTGGTTGGCGTGTCTGACGGTGCTGCGGGTTCTAGGAAGATTCCTTCTGGTGCCCATTCCAGGTACAGAGGAACATGCCTGGTCGGTTCACAATAAGAACACGAGGGTCAAGGCGGTTCAAGGGTGTTCATAGCGGTACAGAGGTGAAGGAATGAAAGGGACACATGTCTGGTCCGGTTGAGAATGAAAACGTGGAGGATCAAGTGTTTTTAAAGAAGTAAAAAGGACACTTTCCGAAGTACAGAGAACAGTCAAGACATGCTGATTCCCATCCCAAAGGTCGTGCTGGCATTGACCACAGCTCATTGGTTAGCATTGACGCTAATGCGTACGCTGGGCAAAGTTCAAGGGGTTTAGGAGCACTCGTTTGATTCACTTTTAGGGCATGCAAGTCTCATTTTACAAGCCACTCACTGGTATCTCTTATAAGCTAGGCCTTTGAAAGCCCTCTTGGCATCAGCAGAGTCTGCCATTTCCACCTGACCATGGGAATGAGGGAGAGGGGGATGGGTGAAAGGGGAGAGGGGCGATGGGATGAGGGCGTGGAAGGGAAGGGACAGGGTTAGAAGAAGCAAGAGGGTTTCAAACAAGAGGGTAGAAGAAACAAGGACTTTAAGGCTCTCATGGCATTTGCGAAATCGGCCATCAATTCTATCAGACCATGAAAATGAGGGAGGGAGAGAGGGGAGGGGGGGTTCGGGGAAGTGGGGGATGGTGGTAAGGGTCTGAGTGGAAACGAGCATGGCTGCTGGGGATGCACGAGTTGACTTTTGAGTCGACTCAAAAGTCAACAGAGAGGAAACGAGCATGGAAGCTGGGGATACCAGACTGGACACGCCTGAAAAAGTCATACAAGTTGGGAACAAGAAACCAGCTGCTTAACCTCCTCAGCCGTGCTGCGCTGTGCCTATGCCTATCCACACAGCATGCAACCGAAACAAACCCACCCAGTCACCAACCCCGCTCACCCCCCCAAATCCCCCCCCCCCCCCCTCCCCCCCCTCCCTCCCACCTCGCCTCACATCCCTCTCTCACTACCCTCCCCCCCTGCCCCTCCACTCACCAATGCAACAGTGTTGGTGGGCGGCAGCACAAACCTCGCTACCGGTCCGAACCGTTGGAACAGCCCCACCAGCTCCCCAGCCTCCACCTTGAAGGGCAGATTCTTCACCAGAATCACACTCCTGCTGCGCGCCAAGCTGCCAACACCACCAGCAGCACCAGCACTGCCATCCGCCTTGGTATCCTTTTTCCCAGCTGCTTTGGCAGCAGCAGCAGCGGCGGCAGCAGCGGTGGCGGCGGTGGCGAATTGCTCCATGAGAGCCACGTCGATACCGGCGTCTAGGAGAGCCCGCTTGGTGTCCGCCACTATGTGCGCCTCCCCTAAGGCAAGCCGGACGGCTGTGTCACTGGCTGATGGGTCCAGGAGATCTCTCTTCGCGACTCCATATCTTTGCGCCACTGCCTCTGCCACCTGGGGGAGGCACGGGGGTGGGAACGGGATGGGATCTTGAGAAGGGAGGAATCGGACGGAAAACCAGCTGCAGCGGCAGCAGCGGTCGAGGTGGTTGTGGCTTGCTCCATGGGGGCCACATCGATGCCCGCGTCAAGCAGAGCCTGCTTGGTGTCCGCCACTATGTGCGCCTCTCCTAGTGCCAGCCGCACTGCTGTGTCGCTGGCTGATGGGTCGAGCAGGTCTCTTTTCGCGACCCCATACCTCTGGGCTACTGCTTCAGCTACCTGAAGGGGGGACAGAGGGGAGGATGGGGACAGAATGGAAACAGGAGGGGGCGTGGAGCAGGTAGCACGGAGCATGAAGGAGAGACCCTGTGTGGTGGTGGCGAATTGCTCCATGAGGGTCACATCGATGCCCGCGTCTAGCAGGGCCCGCTTGGTGTCCGCCACTATGTGCGCCTCCCCTAACGCCAGCCGCACTGCTGTGTCACTGGCTGATGGGTCCAGGAGGTCTCGTTTTGCTACTCCGTACCGCTGTGCCACTGCTTCTGCTACCTGGGGGAGGAGAGGAGAACGTGGGAGAGCATGGAGCACGGAGCGTCTAGCAGGGCGCGCTTGGTGTCCGCCACTATGTGCGCTTCGCCTAAGGCAAGTCGAACTGCTGTGTCACTGGCTGATGGGTCGAGTAAGTCTCTTTTCGCCACTCCATATCTTTTCGCCACTCCATATCTTTTCGCCACTCCATATCTTTTCGCCACTCCATATCTTTTCGCCACTCCATATCTTTTCGCCACTCCATATCTTTTCGCCACTCCATATCTTTGAGCCACCGCTTCAGCCACCTGGGGGAGACACGTGTATGAGAGGGAGCAGGGAGCATGTAGTGTCAAGGAGAGCGCGCTTCGTGTCTGCCACTATGTGTGCCTCCCCTTGGGCCAGCCGCACTGCTGTGTCACTGGCTGATGGATCAAGTAAATCTCTCTTCGCAATTCCGTATCTCTGAGCCACTGCTTCTGCCACCTGTGGGCATGGGGATGGGAACAGGATTGGAACATGTGAAAGGGGGAACGGGGAGGAGCAGCAGCGGAGGGAGCAGCAGCGGTGGCGAATTGCTTCATGAAGGCCGCGCCGATGCAGGCGGTTGCATGCAGAAAAAGGAGCTCCAAGCATGGTTGTTTCAGGCGTCTCAAGAGACCGTCTTCCTTAACTTATCGAGTTGCAAATAGACGGAGCTCACAACAATGCCCAAACGGGCTCCGTGCCCATCGAGGTGACTGTTGAGTCGACTCAAAAGTCACAAGGCCCAAACAAGCTACGTGCCCATCTCTCCTACCGTATCTGGCCGCATGTAAAAGGAGCTCCAAGCGCGAGTGTCCCCTCCTGTTTCGCGCTTCTTCCTCTCCTCCTCCCTCCTCTCCTTCAGCGTTTTTGCCTGCAGGTTCGCATCCCTGCACGGATGTTACGGAGGGAGCAGAACACGATAGGTAAATTAGGAAACCCAAATCAGCACAGGTCAACAGCAAGTCGAATAAGTTGCACTCTACATTCAGGCTTAAGCAACAGACCATATCGCCACGCCACCCCACCCACTCTCTCTTCACTCCACAGCCCGCCCTCCCTCTATTCCTCAGCATGCATGGCTTACTCGTCCTTCTTGGAGGGTGGTCTGTGTGCCGGCAGCACGTGCAGCAGGCGGCCCTGAAAGATGGAGGAGTCGAGAGCCTTCATGGCACTGCAGACCAACACAGTCACCCGATGGGCAAGGGGAGAGGGCCGGGGGTTGGGGGGGGGGGGGGGGAAGGGGGGGTTGGGGTGGGGTGTGAATGTGGGGGGACATGAAGACAGACATGGGCGCGCATGTAAACTGGCAGCACGTGCAGCAGGCGGCCCTGAAAGATGGAGGAGTCGAAGGCCTTCATGGCACTGCGGAGCAGAGCACGGCACAGCACAGTCATGTCACGGGCAAGGGGACAGGAAGGGGGGGACGAAGCATAGGAGAGACAGAGATGGGCGTGCAGTGAGGGAAGATGGAGGAGTCAAGGGCCTTCATGGCACTGCAGCACGGAGCACAGTATGGCACGTCACAAGAATGGGGAGAAGCGAGGGGTTGGGGGGAATGGTGGAAGGGACGGGTATTGAAGAGAGAGATGGGCGCGCAGGTTCACTGGCAGCACGTGCAGCAGGCGGCCTTGGAAGATGAAAGAGTCAAGGGCCTTCATCGAAATCACTTTTGAGAATTCTCAAAAGTGATTTCAATACAGCACGTGCAGCAGACTTTTGAGGCGCCTCAAAAGTCACTTTTGAGAATTCTCAAAAGTGATTTCAATACAGCACGTGCAGCAGGCGGCCCAGGAAGATGAAAGAGTCAAGGGCCTTCATCGCACCGCAGTGCAGAGCACAGCACAGCACAGCACAGTCACGTGATGGGCATCACGGGCAGAGTCGAATGGCGGGGAAGGGATGCGAGGTGGGTTGAACATACACACACACACGCACACACACACACACACACACACACACACACATGCACATGCGCACACCCATGGCTAACCGCATCACATCCCCACTACTCACCTGACAGCATCTTCAGGAACAGTGAAGAGCGCATATGCAAAGCCCTTGGAGAGCTTGGTGTGGCGGTCCACCACCAGATGGACTTCTGCTAGCGATCCATAGGGGGCGAGCAGGGTACGGAGGTCATCCTCCCTGTGAGGAGAGGGGAGGGGTTGAAAGTGAACAAAAGATGAGCTTGGTGTGGCGGTTTACCACCAGATGGACTTCTGCTAGCGATCCATAGGGGGCGAGCGGGGTACGGAGGTCATCCTCTCTGCAAAGCACAGGGCAGGAAAATGCACATGGACGCAGGGGAAGGGAGGCGAGTAGATAGATGAGCTTGGCGCGGCCGTGGGTGAGTGCGGCTCACCTCCTTTGGGTTGGCGATACGAAAGGAGAACCGTGGGTATGCGCATGTGCGGTGGGTAAGCCCCTCCATACGCCCCTCCTTTGGAGGGGCGTACAGGCCAAAGAAAGCGGAGGGGAGGGGAGAGAGAGGGAGAAGGGGCGTACGAGGCGGAGTAGCAGAGGTTGCGGAGGAAGAGTCGGCCCGTCTCCCTCACATCCTCTGCTGCTTCTCCATCCACCACTGGCCCCCCTCCCGCCTCCGCTGCTGCCCCATCCACCACACCATCCCCTTTCTCTTCCTCTTCCTCCTGTTCCTCCCTTTGTTCACCTTCTTCCTCTTCATCCTCACTCTCCTCCCCTTCCTCCTCCTCCTCCTCCCCCTCTTCTTCTTCTCCCTCTCCCCCCTCCTCCACGTCTCCATCCTCCTCTCCCTCACTCCCTTCCTCGTTCCCCACCCTCCCTCCCACTTTCTCCTTCTCTCCCTCCTCCTCCTCCTCCTCATCATCATCATCACTCCAATTCGAAGCAACCCTTTTCTTGAGATAATCCAGATTACTCAAAACCTCCTCCTCCCTTTCCTCCCCTTCCTCACCCTCCTCTCCCTCCTCCCCCTCACTCCCCTCCTCCTCCCCATCTCCGTCCCCCCTCTCTTCCCCCTCCTCCTCACTCCCATCCCCCTCTACAATCACATCCCCATACAGCTCATCATCACTCTCTTCCCCTCCCCCCTCCTCCCCACTCTTCCTCCCTCCCATTCCCACCTCCACCACACCTCCACTCACACTCCCACCGCCCCTCCCCTTCCCCACACCCCCTCCTCCCCCCCCATCCCCATCCGCAGTATCATTCGCCCAAACCTTCTTCTTCCCGCCTCGCTCCATCACCTCTAGAAACTCTCTGAACCCTTCATCCTCCTGCGCTGCTTGCTTCACAGCCACCCCTCCCACCACCTTCCCTGTCTTTTTCTTCCCTCTCTCACTCTCCCCACGCTCCCCACCTTTCCCTCCGTCCGCCGCTGCCTCCACACCTCCTTGCTTCCCCCCTCCTTCTGCTGCCGCTCCCTTTCCGCCTGTCCCTCCGACGCCCTTGGTCTCCTTGGCCTGCGTGTGCTTGCTCCATGCGCGGGGCAACGCCGTGTGACCAATGGGCATGGCGAACTGTGGGTGGGAGGATGGAGGAGGAAAGGGGAATAGCGGAGGAATGACTTTTGAGTTGACAGTCAGACGTCATCGCCTTGGCATGCGTGTGCTTGCTCCATGCGCGGGGCAACGCCGTGTGGCAGATGGGCATTGCGAACTGAAGGCAAAGGGAAGGCGGAGAAATGGGGATGACGGATGGAGGGGGGATATGGGGATAGTTGGCTATTGATTCGATTAGAATGTCACCTCTTACGCATGAGCTGACAGTACGAGCACGTGCGAACCCATTGGAAAGTATGCTTGCTTAGTGCATGAGATGTGTGACCAATGGGTTCGCATCGCTACTTTGATTCGATTTGGCCGAGGAAGATGGTTCAGGGATTAAGGTTTAGGGTTGGTGCAAAGAAGTCTATGAAAGCTACATGCGTGCAGCGGTAACCATGTAACCATATGCAACAGGCCAGTTACCTCGCAGCTAGGACGGAATCTGCTACGGAGCAATGATAGGTTGAGAGGATGCTATTACCTACCTAACCGCTGCCTAGGGGTGAGCGAGAACCCAAACCCAAAGCCTTGTTCATGCTTTTGAGTCGACTCAAAAGCAAACCCAAATCCCTGTTCATCACCTTATGCAACAAGCGATTAACCTCGCAGGTGAGTCGAAAGGTGTTCATGAAGGAGGTTGTGAATAGAAACTGACGTAAGCATGTGTAACACGGTTACCGCACCTCGCAGGTGAGTCGAAAGGTGTCCATGAAGGAGCGATTGAAGTAGGCTATCGCCGCTGCTGCCTCCTCCTCCGATCGCAGCCCCACGAAGCCAAACTGCCGCGACCGCCCGTCGCTGGTGGGGGGAAGGGGGGAAAAGGAGGGACGGGTGGTGAGGGGAGGGCAAGGGGGGCGAGAGAAGGGATGGGGAAGGGGAGGGTGCGGGGTGGGTGCGGGGTGGGTGCGGGGTGGGTGCGGGGTGGGTGCGGGGTGAGTGCCGGGTGGGTGCCGGGTGGGTGCAGGGAGGGCGAGGGGAGGGGACACAAGGGGGAAGAGGACGGTGTGTTGAGGGGAAGGGGAGGGAGGCGGGGAGGGGGGTGGGGAGGGAAAAGGGGGGGGAAGAAGACGGTGAGGGACGGAGTGGGGATGAGATGGCAGGCGCAAGGGAAATCAACATTCCTCCGACCGATTAGTTGAAATGCTGATGGGATGACCCTCCTTGGTGTTGGGTAAAAACGGGGACGAGACGAGAAGTTTGAGAAAAGGAGACGATATGATGTGGCAGAAGCGAGAGAATGAGCATTCCCGCACTTGACTCCCCCGCACTTGACTCCCCCGCACTTGACTTCCCCCCCCTTGACTCCCCCGCACTAGATTCCCCCGCACTTGACTCCCACGTACATGATTTCCCCGTCTTGATACAACCGCACTGATTTCTCCCGCTCTTCACTCCCCCACACTTGAACCCCGCACTTGACTTCTCAGTACATAATTCCCCCGCACTTGACTTCTCAGTACATAATTCCCCCGCACTTGACTTCTCAGTACATAATTCCCCCGCACTTGTCTTCTCAGTACATAATTCCCCCGCACTTGACTTCTCAGTACATAATTCCCCCGCACTTGACTTCTCAGTACATAATTCCCCCGCACTTGACTTCTCAGTACATAATTCCCCCCCACTTGATTCCCCAGCACGCCACGTCATGTGAAGCTTCTTGACTCGACTCGCAACTCGTCTCATGTGACGTGGGTTTTTCCTAAACCCTGAATTTGAGGCGCAGCGGAGGCACTCAACCCTACGTGTAAGCCCCGCCATGCGTTACACGACTTGGCTCGACTCGCGACTCGTCTTATGTGATGCTGGCTGGGAGGAGCGCTCTCACCGCGTGCGCATGATCTTGGCGTCGGTGACGTGGCCTTTGACGGAAAAGTGCTCTCTCAGTCTTTCCTCCGTCACGTATTCTGGCAACCCTTTGACGCACACGCGCGTGCTACGAGGCATCTGATTAGCCTCCTCGGTCTGTACCCCCATAGTCACTCCCGCTATTGGCAGCTAATTTCGTGGTTAAAGGGGAGTCAACGACGAAGTGAGATTCGCGAAATCTATTAGCTGACGGGGAGGCCACGCGGGAAGGCGAGGCTGCAGATGACAGATAGGAGTGCTTGTAAACGAATTGTGGCCGAACAGAACAGACGGTCACTAGATGATCACGCAGATTGAAATAATAATGGTCAGACGCGCTGGCGGCTACAAAGGAGGCGAACGCAGACGAGCAACCAGTCACATCGGACGCAAGGCAATTTTTTTCGCAAGAGCTGACACAAAGGATTTTATGCTCTTTTATTTGCACATGCTGGCGACCGCGATTAGGGTTTTGTGAGCTCTGACATGTGCGAGGGTGGGTGTTATGAATGAACTTGCAGAGTGCGCAGTAAAACGAATATCGAGAATGATTGAATACTGAATTACTGAATTCCTGAAATTATAATTTTTAAAACACACATTGTGTTTTTTAAAATTGTGTATTGTGAAAGCGAAGCTGCTTGTACTGCACAATTGGCATCGTCGAAGCGCGCTAAACGCCCTCCTCCAACTACAAAAACCGTGGGTTGGAGTTCATTTCCCTCCACCCACGCTTCTCGATTTTCCAACGGCTCACTCAACATTCCCACCACCCACCCCAGAGTAAACCGCCTTGCTAATGCCACTTGGATAGGGTACATCTTAGCTAGTGTTATTCGATTGCACTAGCTTGTGTTCAACGTCGATGCAAATGTTGTAATTACCCATTTGTAATGAGAACGATGCCAATTGATAAGAATAACAAAGCAAGCTTTCTCAATTGACGATACAATGGAAGTGACGAGGCCTAAATAGGGGAAGTCCTAGCTAGGCGGAGAGGTTGGGCGAGGATGGCTCGGTGATGGTTGCGATTGGTGCGGAGGCGACTCGAGAGTGGTTCGGTGCGACGAAATAGGAAGGACAGGTTCGTCGCGTGACCCTCGGGATGTCCTCGCTAACGAGTGCCTCAGTAAGGATTCTGTAAATCCTTACAGTGGGGGGGAGAGGGGATATGAGTGGTTTCGGGTTTGGTGACATCGTTTGCTCGATAATGAACACTTCGTAGAAAAACAGAGCCTTCTTCAGTTGCCATGTACAAGCTTTTGCGAAGTTACCCTAAAAAAATCTCTATTCAGCTTCCTATTTGTTACACAGCTTGGCATCTACCATCACGGATCATCTCCTCTACCTTTGTTGTCAATGCATCATAACTTCTCACAACATCTATTTGACATCCCGACAACCTTGGATAGATCCTCTCATACGCCCTACCAGCCTCCTCTGCTCCTCTTCTAAAATAAATAATATTCCTGCCGCCCCAGTAGCTCGACAGTACTGACGTGCCGCCCTGTACACTTATAAAGCACGAGCTCCGCGCCATTGTTCTGAACTGCACCTCGTTATAATCACATCCCGGGCAGCTTCTGCGAAGCTTGTGCATTGTAGTGAAACGAGGCTGCAGCCAGAACTCCTCCCGGAACATTCTATACTCACCTAAACCAGTCAAGTCCCGCTGCTCCCGATCTGTCCTAAACGCCTTCCCCGCTCGGTTATACACCACATAGTACCCGCTATTGAGAAACTCAGTAATGATCCGCTTCAGTGTCGGAATGTCGATGAAATTAATCGGCGGCTCACCCCACTCAGTCTCAAACTTGTTACTGATAACAACCAACGAAGCACCCATGGGAACGTCAGTCCAAACAGGGCCAAGCTCCCGAATGTGGGAGGCGAGAGGAGGAGCTGTCCACGTATCCGGGATCTCGCTATCATGCAAACCCTCCTTAAACCCATACCGCTTGATCACGAAGTTAAAGTGCGCAGATCGCTTGCACTTCCATCCGACGGTCTGGATCGGGCTGAAGTAGTAGAGGAGCGCGAGCGACGGCATGGCGCAGAACCTAGTAGAGTTCAATGAGCGGTTCAAATAGTGCCAGTAGGCGAACGGGAGGGCGGCGATCAACTCGTACCCAAACTCGCCGCGGAAAAAGACGTTGACAGGCGTGCGGACAGAAGCAGGAGGGGGGCTATTTGTAGGGTCTAGGTTTGGTGTAGGCATGGTGCTGGTGGGGTCTAGGTTCGGCGCAGGCATGGTGCTGGAGGATTCCAAAGAACGGAGAGGGTTGTGAGGGACGATGAAGATTCGATCAGAGTAAGACAAGGAGGAAGAGGGAGTGGAGGGGTCTGGGAGCAGGAGAGTACCTTGGGCAGCAGGAGGGATAGGTGGTGAGAATACAGAGGGGTTGGTTTCAAGTAAACTGTGGGTAGAAGGGGTGTCATTGTCAGTGGGTAGGCTGGTTAAGGAGAGTGGTTCTGAATGAAAGGCTTCTGGCAAGGGGAAGGGAAGGAGCGAGGAAGCTGGGGTGCTTGGATAATTGTCGGGTTCAGGTGGTGTGACTTGCGCCTGATGCTTTTGCCAGGACAGGTGGGTGGGATGGGGAAGCTGTAATGTGGACAGTGACCTTTGAGGTGACTCAGAAGTTGCTTCAAGCAGTGAGATGTGTGTCTGGTGTCGGTGCAAGGACCGAGGTTGGGGAAGAGGTACGGATGTCAGTGGGTGGGGCAGTGGCAAGGATGAACCAGAGGTCGCTGCTAGGGGAAAAGATGTTCCTGTATCGTGAGATTCCTCAACACGTGGCAGGGGAAAGGCTGCTTGCGTGGTATGTGATTTCTCAATCGGTGCCAGAGGGGGAGACTCTTGCACTGTGGAGGGGAGGGACGAATCGGTGGGTTTCTGAGCTTCCAAGGCGACTGGGTCTTGAGATGATGGGCCTGGCGAGGGAGCGAGAGAGGGAGGGAAGGAGGAAGGGAGGGAGATGGTGGGTCGGAAATATGGGATTGAGGTACACGGCAGACTGAGCGAGCAATGCAGTGGGTGACTTCAGAAAGATGAAAAGAAAGGGAAGAAAACAAAGGAAAGGAAGAAAGAAAAACCGTTGTGAGAGCAGCGTAAAGCGGGAGCAGCGTAAAGCGGGAGCAGCGTAAAGCGGGTGCAGCGTAAAGCGGGTGCAGCGTAAAGCGGGTGCAGCATAAAGTGGGTGCAGAGGGCACTAACAAAATAAACAACTGCACTTGGGACGTTACAAGAGAAGAACTTATATGACGCGCGTCTTCAGGTACCTGGCAAGAATCACCTGACGCGCGCCTCCAGGTACCTGGGAAGTATCACCTGACGCGCGTCTGGCAGGTACCTGGGGAGAATCACCTGACGCGCGTCTCCAGGTACCTGGGGAGAATCACCTGACGCGCGTCTCCAGGTACCTAGGGAGAATCACCTGACGCGCGTCTCCAGGTACCTAGGGAGAATCACATGACGCGCGTCTCCAGGTACCTGAGAAGGGCAGAACTTGGGTAGAGGGGTTGTGTGGTGGTAGGTTGGAGAGAGCAGGGCGAGCGAAGGGCGTCGCCACGAAACCGACGGCGACGAGGAGAAGAAACGCCACGACGAGTGGTAACCGTTTCGCGCATGGCCGCCGCGAGCAGCGCCAGAAGCGCGCGCAGCGCGAGTAGAGCCAGCGGGGATGCATGATGGAGGGGAGAGCTGGTCGCAGCGTGAACGGCGACGAGCATTGGACGCACGGCGAGTGGAAAAACGGACGACGAGAGCACGGCGACGGGCGCGGCGTCACAAGCATGCGCAAGAGCCGCAGGTGCAAACAAGAGGTGCAGGAGCAGCCGCAATCGCTGCATGCTACTCGATCCCTTGTGTATAGCGTCGCATTTTATTCATTGGCTTTCACTAATAGGGGTATATCCCCTGCTGTTCCCAAATACCCGAAGCGCGGGAAGACAGACGCACCAAAAGGGAACAGCGCGATAGCGGAACGAGCGCCTATTTATAAAAGAGACGGAATGTACATGGTACGAAAAGAGTCATCGGGCTCGGCTGTGCCGCCGCGGTCGGCGAGAGAAGTAAAAATCACGCGGGAAGGACTTCTTTGGGACGGGTAGGTGCTTTCCTAATATCTTATGCTGATTTTGCAAGAAATGTTGCTATGGCGGATGGATGGATGGGCTTGAAAACAGGTCCCAGAGCGACGGCAGCTTAGAAATCGGGTTTTAGCTTCCGCGAAAATCGCACAGATTTAGTTACCCGTTACAGGACAGCTTGC